CATCTACTAGTAAAATTGTAAGCACAGAGAATGTAGGAAATTTTAAATCATTAGATATAGTTTCCAGTCTTGTTAAGACTCTGGAACCCTCGTTTCATAAAGTATAAAACAAAATCTGCAAAAGCATGTTTTCAAAATAGTACATATGAGTTCACTTTGTCTACTTAAATTTTTAATCAAGAATTATAGAGCTATTGGGGAAGGCCCCATGGCCTAGTGGTTAGGTTTGGCGTGTTCTGCTTCGGCGGCCCAGGTTTGGTTCCCAAGCACAGACCTACACTACTCATCAGCAGCCATGTTGTGGCGGTGACCCACATACAAAATAGAGGAAGATTGGCACAGACATTAGCTCAGGGCGACTCTTCCTCAGGAAAAAAAAAATATAGAGCTATTAACTCTGTTTATTATTTGTCTCTCCCCATTATATCATAAGCTTTAAAAACCACCTGATGCATAATAGGGGCTCAATCAATGGAAAACAAAAAATGTGGATGGGCCCACAAACTTTTTAAACCAGATATCAGTGGCTTCTTCTAATTCAATTAGTTGTTAACAAATGCACTTGCTAGCAAGTACCAAATTCGCTTACCTGAATTAAAATGAGGAGTTAACATGGCTTATAGATTAGCCTAACCAGTTTTCTGAGGTAGATTCAATCAGAAGAAATGTAAACATAGAAACAAAGTGTAAGGAAAGTGAGATCCATTTTGCACATAGAAAAATGGAAGCACAGAAATATTAAAATAGTTGTTCTCAGGCCCTTTGTTCAGAAATGCTACGTACTGGAAATTAAATATGGTTTGTGTAGCTAGTCATACACTAGCTTATTTATCATATAGTCTGAATATATGACTATATATCACTAGCTCTATTTATCATATAGTCTGAATATTCAAAGCACATACTGCAAGACCAGCTTCCAAGGGAAATTGTGATCACAGTCTCATGATCATCAGTGACGAGGCCCAGGCATCAGCTTAACACAAACTATGCTAAAGAAGCAGGTGTTTAGAAAGATTCTGAAACCATGTTTCAATATCACAGTGTGTTTTTTTTTTTAATTCCAGGGACTTTTTTAAATGATATGAAAATAAGGGAAAGTTTTACTTGAAAGTAAAAAAAAACATATGTAAACAATAAGAATAATTTAAACATATCAAGTTTGGTAGCTCTTTGTGTGAATTTTCATAAACTTTAATACAACTAAAGACATATTTTGGACTTTTTTTGTAATGTGTTCTAATCTCTTACTGTGTATATCAAGTTTCTGATATATACTTGTTTTTTTGCAGCTGTGTTTTAAATTGTTGAAAGTAGGGATATAATGGAAAAACGAACAGACCTTTAACTATAGAGACAGTAGCTTAGGTGACACTATAATCACATTAGATTGCATATACTATGACTTAATGTTTGTCTCCCTTAAATTCATATGTCGAAATTCTAATCTTTAATGTGATGGTATTTGAAGATGGGGCTTTTGCACGGTAATTAGGTCACGAGGAGGGAGCTCTCATGATGGGGTTAGTGCCCTTATAAGAAAAGGCGCGAGAAAGTTTGCTTTCTTTCTCTTTCTCTTTGCCATGTGAGGACACAGCGAGAAGGTGGCCATCTGCAAACCATGAAGAGAACTCTCACCAGGAATGAAATGAGCAGGCACCTTGATCTTGGACTTCCCAATCTCTAGAACTGTGAGAAATAAATTTCTCTTGTTTAAGCCAACCAGTCCATGGTATTTTGTTATAGCGGCGCACTTGAGCTAAGACAATATACTTTATTTTATTTTATTTTTTGAGGAAGATTAGCTCTGAGCTAACATCTGTTGCCAATCCTCCTCTTTTTGCTGAGGAAGATTGGCCCTGGGCTCACATCGGTGCCCATCTTCCTCTACTTTATATGTAGGATGCCTGCCAAAGCATGGCTTGATAAGTGGTGCATAGGTCTACACCCAGGATCCAAACCTGTGAACCCCAGGCTGCCAAAGCAGAGCATGCACACTTAACCGCTACACCACCAGGCTGGCCCCTAAGACAATATAATATATACCAAAAATGTTTTTGTGAATCAGGCCATTGTGACTTTCCCTAATTCATAGTGGATTTGTCAGAAAGAAATCAAATTTCATAGTTATGACATTTCTTTCTAAATGTTAAATTTTCTGATCATTCATATTTTGGAAGGACAGTTTACCTCTAAATGGTGAATATAAAGTAAAAGATCTGGTGACTTCAATTCAAATATTTTGTAAAAAAATGAGTAACAATAATTGAAATATCTGTTTTTATGCCAAACTGCTAGGTTAAAAAATCTGTAAATGTAAATAGAGGAAATGTGTTTTTGTTTGAATAGTTTCTGTATCCCCCAAGTAGTAGTATGTGACAAAGTCTCAATACATAGGTTTGCTCACTGCCTGTGGGATTCTAATAGATTGACCTTCAGAACTGTGCTTCACCAAGATGCACACTGAAAATAAGTTTCTGTTAAAATATAGATCAACAGAGGAAATTTCTGTCCTTATAATTTGGTATCATTTAGCTACTATCATATTGCTAACTGTTCTTGAAAGGAGGGGTGAAGCTTTTAACATATTAACACCCATTTGTCAACTAATTTGAAGATTTTTATTATGATATTTCCTTTGAATTATTATTTTAAAACTAATAATGTTACTATTATACAGTAGCACTTTTGCAAAAACTTGGCAATTATATTAGAAAGCTCTCACTAATCACTGAAATCAACTCTTTTTTAAAAAAAATTCTTCATTTCCCTATCATCTTCTGATGGAAATCTACAGATTTGTAGAGAAATTTTATCAAAGGAAATTCAAAATAAATATATTGTTTTCAACTGACTTTAATCAAAATAACTATATGAAAGTAGAGTCAATTTTCTTCAGCATAAAATAGTTTCTGTATATTTGGCAAGACTTAAGCATGTAATCTAATGTCAACTTTTAAAAAGCAGTGTCCAATTTTATGTTTGTGAAGGTTCTGACTTACTTTTTAAAAAATTGCATGTGAAATAAACAAATCAGCAATAAACAAAAATATAGTTATATTGTTTTAATACCTTAACAATATTTGGATTTTTTAAGGAGAAGATAACTATTCTTTAAATTTCCATCATCACCACCAATACCAAAATGCTAATCATGAGTCTCATCCCCAATTGCCTCTTCACTCCAAATTCTTCACAGAGCTATCAAAAGTCCCAAAGATTCAACCAAAATGTAACTGATTCAGTCTGAGTAAAAGTCATTAAGAAAACTAAGTGGATGTACTTTTGAAGAGCCATAAACATGCCTTTATTGAGAGTATTTTTTTATCATTTCAAAGCAAGTACGACAATTCCATTACTTTAAACCACGTTTTGTTTTTTAATAGAGTTTCTCAATTTTGTGTTTGGTCACATTTACTTAGCAGCCACCCAGTTTCAAAATCATAGAAAACTTATTCCATCTTTGAAATAATGTTCACAGGTAATTTTTTTCTCAAAGACAACTCTGATTCCCGGTTTACACTCTGATCAAATATTCAAACAACAGAGCTCTGACTTGATAGGATAAACTAATTCATTAAGGGTCACAATCTTCACAGGAAGCACCCTTCTTCCTGGCCATGGAAATATACATGGAGCTTAATAAAAAATTATCAATTTTTCTTTTCCTTTCCTACAAAGGTTATGCTATAAATTTTCTTAATTGTTTTAGAAGTCCCCAAAACTGGAACCTAATTTAAAATGGAAAAAAATGTCTAGAATCTCAGATTTTCCCTGCCTTCGCTTCTCTCACCTCCATGTACAACTATTATAATCATATCAATTTTACAAGGCCCAGTTCACATCCATCAACAGTAATGCCTTTTGTGATCCCTACTTTCTCTCTTCTTCAAGCTAGGTGTGATCTCTCCCTCCTCTAAATTCCTATAGTACTTGGTGATTCTCTACGCTATCCATCACAGTCTGTCTTGTTAGCTCAAGTTAAATGGGTACTTGTTTGCCTCACATTTAGTTTGTGAGCCCTGGAAGTCAGGGACTATGTCTTATATGTCTATTTCCCATACGGCCCAATACAACATGTATATATCAAAGGTATAACATTTGTTGAATAATCGAAGGAACAAAGGAACAAATCAATGGTTGCTCTGATTAACTATACTCTTTTGATCCTATATCCCCTTATATTATCTCCTTGTCAAAAGGAAAATTATATTAAAAAGCCTAGTTCACATTATACTTGGAGAGAGGACAGAGAGGCCATGTGCCAAACTAATAGGAGACATAAGGAGGGATTATAAAATATTATTTGTGTTTCATTACCCAATGGTCATGAAATTTCGAAAAATAGTATTCTGATGATGATAATGATAATGTTGTAAATTATCATAAATATTTATTTAACGTTTCACAGTTTTTAATCTACATTTTACTCACATTATCTCTAGATAGCCAATGAAATAAGTGGGATAGATTACTACTATGATCTTTATTTTACAGTTGAGAAAATAAGTTCAGGTGGGCTAAATGTCATATCCATGGTCATTCATCTATTAAGTGGCAGAATCAGAATTGGAACTCAGGTCTTTCTGACTACAAGTCCTATACAGTATATACTACCCCACAACTGTCTCTCAAACACCAAAAAGATGCAGTGTTTCCTTTGTTTCACCCCAGCAGTCGGAATGGTTTTTGCACACTCTTCTACTCCGTCATTAGTCTGGCCTTGTCTCCACACACTGTGCTCATGATTGCAAGACAGGAAGCTAAAATTAAAGATGAGCTCTGTGGTCATAGAATGAAAACAAATAACAACAACAAAACAAAAAACAACAAAACACCTTAGCAGGCCTAGTCAGAAATCAAACTCATCAATACTGTATGCTAAGCAACTGAGTCAATGAGCTGTGTATTTATACTGAAGATCCAGTGATATTGGTGATATTTTATCAAAATTTAAATGTAATTAACACCTTTGTCCTCTTCTAAATCATTATTCTTACCTTTATAACAGAGGCCCCAGCTCTGGAGAGTGGACTGTGAATCTGGGCTGCAGCAGCCATGTTGGCAATAGTATTGAGATGGTTCATCTGATTCATTGCCATGGCAACTGATGCAGGAGGTAAGCTGACTGGAAGTAGGGGATGAGGCATCATCATAAATGGCAGATCCAGTCCTAAAAGAGACAGTGCATGTTAAATTATTACAGTTGTTACATTATTTGGACAAAGGGAAATCACATCAAAATTGATGCCATGAAATAGTAAAAAAAAAATCTAAAACTCATTCGTACTGTATTTTTTTTTTTTTTAATCAAGTGTTATTATATCTTAGTATCTCTTTGGGCAATCACTAGTACCTATTGGATTTAATATTGTTTTATAATTTTAAATATGTTCTTATATCCACAGACTTTTATTTATCAATATTCCTTGTTCTTCCTCTCACTCCCAAAATATTTATAAGATGCAATCATTTTTACCCATGAAAACAAACAAAAATCTTTAAACCAAACATGATTTTGTTTAACTTTCTTTTTAATCTGTGTTGATACTTTCTAGCTTAAGACTTTCTTTAGGAGACATAATAGTGGTGCTGGTAAGACAGGATATAGATTCTCTAGGCTTCAGAATTATTGAGGAAAACAAAACTTGGAACATATTCTAGCCTTTTAGTTATAAATTTCTAAAACGAATGCTTATAGCTCTAATTTGAAGCCTTTGTCAATAAGGAATAACTCCCCTATCAAAATATCAACCTGTTTTCCAGTTTAATGACAAATACCAACATTGTTGAGTAGTGTCTAGAATTCTGTCTGTTTTCTTATGCAAGGTGAAATAATTTTCACACATTTGAAATTTCTTAAAGAATATCCCTCAAGTATTAGCCACATTACACTTGTAGTAGCCACAGATATGCCATCACAAGAAAGGTAACAAATTAAAACAGTTGTGTACTTACCCCTTATAAGGTTGGGATTTGTGAGGAAACATCTCTAAGCAGAGGCTAGGGAAAGTTAGCCTGACATTACAGATGTTAACATGACTACAGTAAGTAAACCATAGCACTTTACAATGTATTTTATTTTATTTTTAAAAATTTTTTGTTTATTGCAGTAACATTGGTTTATAACAGTGTATAAATTCCAGGTGTACATCATTATACTTCTATTTCTGCATAGATTACATCATGTTCACCACCCAAATACTAATTACAACCCATCACCACACACATGTGCCGAATTATCCCTTTCGCCCTCCTCCCTCTCCCCTTCCCCTCTGGTAACCACCAATCCAATCTCTGTCTCTATGTGTTTGTTTATTGTTGTTATTATCTACTACTTAATGAAGGAAATTATACGGTATTTGACCTTCTCCCTCTGACTTATTTCACTTTGCATAATATCCTCAATGTCCATCCATGTTGTCACAATGTATTTTAAACTATTGCCTCAACAGTAATCTGCCTTCTTTTGGACAGAAGCCCAGAAACCAGTAATCTTTAACAGATGTTCTAAAATATCCTTGCCTATAATTTTCCTAAATTATTACAGATTATAGAAATTCTATGATGGGCAATGTTTCTATTGGTCCTACACACAATTATGAACTATTAATAACATCCCTTTTCCTCTTCGCTGTCCCCTCATTTTTTCTTGCTTCCCATATCACAATAGTAAGTGAAGAACAATGAATCTGTAGGGAGTATGTTCAGAGGCCCCTAGATCTCATTCCTCAAAACAACAGTAACAGTAATACAAATATTCAAAACATTTTTAGGACAAAAAGGAGGCTAGAAGGTAGAAATGCTGTTACTTGATTAGAGGTCCACCTTCTGGATTCAACAATGATGGATGACTTAAAGCCATGAACAAAAAATATTCAAAGGCAGCACAATGCAATAATACACACTTTCAGATATGACAGGTCTCATACAACACTAAAGTGATCATCTCAATGAAAGATATTCCTAAATAAAGAACACAACAGTCACCAATATTTCTGATAAAGACAGCCACAAAATGCACTGTTATCAGAATTACACAAAGATAAAAAGAAAAGCTAGAAACTTAAATTCTATATGGAACCCAAGAAGGGGACTGTACTCCCTATGACTCCAGATCCTCAGAGAATACTAACAAAGTATTTTAAACTTTTCCCCTATCACTTCACTTATGGCTTGCTATCTCTAAATCCTTTCTAGGAGCAATCTACCAAACCAAATTTTTCAGTTTTAAGATATTTTTCGTGTGATTATTCATTTATTAGAGAAGCCTAAACATGGTATAAACACCGAATTTAAAATGGTCTTCTGCACCCCCTTTTAAACTAGAAGTTTATTTTCAGTTAGCCTTCCAAAATTACTTAGATGCATATGCGTTTTTATACTTTACTCGTCATACAGCTTTGCTATAATGATGGAATATTCCATAACATATTAAATTAATCACTGTTTACCTTTCCCCTAAAACCTTCACTTTATGCTCAACATAATAGTAACCATCAATGACCTAAAAAAGTTTCTATATAAGGCTCTCATTTACCACAAACCCAAGATAATTATAGACTTCAATTCTGCCTTGTGTACTCAGTGTTTTAGTAGCAAATTGATCAAACTGAAGATGAAAAGTAGCCATCAGTGCCTCCCTTTACCACTAAAATTCTTAAATAAGCCTTTGTTCAATTTACACTTCCCTTAACAGTGTAATAATCTTTTGCTCATTCTCCAAAGATTTTCAGCATCATCCAGACACCATCTGGCCATATTAAGTCATATGCCTACTTAAAGTCCAATTGACATGCAAACGAAATGCAAACTACAAACAGAATTTAATAGCCCATTGACAGTTTTAAGATATAATTCATCAAACATTTCAAATGACCATGAAGGACTTAAAAGTCACACTTTCAGGTCATGACCTGCAATAACTAACTGTCAATTGACTATAATACCCTAGACTCTAAGCTAATATTTATATTACAGGCCAGTTTAACAGTGACCCCACGTGAGTTTGCACATGCAAAGCATGTGCAAATACTGAATTATGTAAGTCAGCCTTTTCCCAAAGCAGAAAACATTAAATTAAGAGCCATCAGTAGTACACAACACTCCAGCAATCTGGCTCATTTAGTCTCACATGCTAAAAATGTACAGAGACTTTTAATAGTATGGTAATAAAGACAAATTCTTTTTAAAAATCACCACAATGGGTCATCTCTTTCCTGTCAACCTCAAGGACATCATGCAAGCTATTATAAGCATTATTTCTAACGCATCTTGGTATTCTGGCAACTCCTATAACTTTTACATAAGTGCATGGTACCACCCTCTCCTAGCCATTAAGGCTACAAACTTCAAACTCTAATCCTTCCTCTAAAATCCCACATTCATTCTATTTCCAAGTCATGTTGACCTCTGTAATATCTTGCCATTTCTATGGTCAGGCACCAATCTCATCGTACCTGGTTGGTATCCTATCTTCCTGGTTGGTATTCCCACGTCATTTCATTTGCCTTTCCACTCTAATTTTAAGACTTTCACTGGCCACTTACTATCTCCAGAATAAAATATAAGCTCTTTCGTTTCATGTTAAATTACTTTTCTAGCTTTAATATCTCATTATATGTCTCTAAGTATGCTCTACTCTAGCCCCACTGGACTATTTGCAGCTGTCTACTATTTTAATTCGCCTTAGCCTTCATTCTTGTTCATGCCTCTAGAATCTACCTCTCTAATCCTCTTTATCTGGGTATGGTAAAAGTTCTCCTCCTTTTTTTAAAACAATAGACTTTATTTTTAGAGAAGTTTTAGGTTTACAGAAAAAATGAGCAGAAATTACAGAGAATTTCCATATACTTTCTCTCCACCAGCAGTTTCCCCTCATATTCACATCTTGTATTAGTGTGGTACATTTACTACAACTAAGGAATCAATATTGATATATTATTATTAACTACAGTCCATAGTTTGCATTAGGGTTTATTCTTTGTGTTGTACATTCTATGGTTTTTCACAAATGCATAATATAACGTATCTACCATTACAGCATCATACAGAATAGTTGCACTGCCCTAAAAATCCCGTGCTCCACCTATTCATCCCTCCTCGCTTACCCTTGGATTTTACTGACTCCATAGATTTGCCTTTTCCTGAATGCCATATAGGTGGAAACATACACTATTTAGTCTTTTCAGACTGATTTGTTTCACTGAGCAATATGCACTTAAGGTTCATCCAAGTCTTTTCAAGGCTTCATAGCTCATTTGTTTCTATTGCTAACTACTGTTCCATGCTATGGATGTACCACAGTTTGTTTACTCATTAACCTACTGAAGGATATCTTGGTTGGTTCCAACCTTTAGTAATTATGAATAAAGTGGCTATAAACATTGGTATGTAGATTTTTGTGTGGACATAAGTTTTTAACTCATTTGGATAAATAAGGGTAATTATGTTTAGCTTTGTGAAAAACTGCCAAAATGTTTCCCAATGTGGCTGAACCATTTTGCATTTCCATCAGTGAATGAGAGTTTCTATTGTTCCACATCCTTACCAGCAATTCATGTTGACGGAGTTTTGGATTTTAGCCATTCCAATAGGTGTGTAGGGGTATCTCATTGCTGTTTTAATTTGAAATTCCCTAATGACATATGAGGTTGAGCATGTTTTCATATGCTTATTTGCTATCTGTATATCTTATTTGATGAGGTGTCCAGGTCTTTTGCCTATTTTTCAATTGGGTTATTTCTTATTGTTGACTTTTAAGAGTTCTTTGTAAATTTTCTAGCAGTCCTTTATCAGGTATGTGTTTTGCAAAGATTTTCTCCCATTCTGTAGCTTGTCTTTTCATTTTCTTAACAATGTGTTTCACAGAACAGTTTAAATTTTTAATTTTTAATGTTTAAATCCAATTTATCAATTTTTTTTCTTTTAAGGTTCATGGATTTGGTACTATATCTAAAAACTCATTGCCAAACCCAAGATCACCTAGATTTTCTCTGATGTTATCCTCTAATAGTTTTAGAATTTTGAAATTTACATTTAGGTCCATGATCCAGATTGAGCTAATTTCTGTGAAGATTGGAAAGTCTACGTCCAGATTCATTTTTTTGCAATGTGGATGCCTATTATTTCCAGCATGATCTGTTGAAAAGATTATGATTTCTCCATTTAATT